TATATAAACTGTATTTACTTACTTGGGAAGTAGAAGGTGAAAGCATTCAGGCTCTTCTGCTTTTGCAGGTTTATCCGTGCTTTGTCAGGACCTCGTTCAGAGTCTCCATGTTGTCCCACCTCCGTAAAGCTGATCTGAGAAAAAGCGGGGGACAGTCTGTTTGGGCGGCGTGTTTCCAGTGAGCTTTGGTTTGTGACTCTGAAAAAGGCAGGTGTGTATCCTTCAAGCAACAGAGAGGTACAGACTAAATGGATCTAAAGACAGCAGTGTTCAATGCAGCTCGTGATGGCAAGCTGCGGCTCCTTTCCAAGTTACTGGCAAGCAAAACAAAAGAAGAGATGGCCTTACTTATGTCAGAAAAAACCAATGGTGCCACACCACTTCTGATGGCGGCCCGTTACGGGCACCTTGACATGGTGGAGTACTTGCTGGACCATTGCTCTGCTTCCATAGAAGTTGGTGGTTCGGTGAATTTTGATGGTGAGACCATTGAGGGAGCCCCACCGTTATGGGCAGCGTCAGCTGCTGGTCACTTGAAGGTGGTTCAGTGTCTGTTAGATCATGGTGCATCCGTCAACAACACAACTCTGACAAATTCAACGCCACTTAGAGCTGCCTGTTTTGATGGTCACCTGGAAATAGTAAAATATCTCGTGGAGCACAAAGCGGACTTGGAAGTATCAAACCGTCATGGGCATACATGCTTGATGATCTCCTGTTACAAGGGCCACAAAGAAATTGCTCAGTATTTACTCGAAAAAGGAGCTGATGTTAACAGGAAAAGTGTTAAAGGTAAGTTCGTTGTTTTGTTTTCCTTGTAGTAAAGAGGAGTGAAGTTATTCAGCTATCCTTCTTTAGGAGGCTGATGTCCAAAAATATTCCTATAGACTCATAATGTGAATGTTTTTTCCAGTAGGAAATGAAGTATATTCAGCTATGTTTTTACAGGCTTTTTTTAGTGTACTCATTCCTTGTTTGTTAACCTTGGTTATATAATTTCACTCTAAATTGATACTTTTTAATCTTAAACTTCAGTTCTTAGAAAGATTTAGTCATATGAAACTTGGCATTTATGTATGTGCAAAAGCTACTCAGCTTCTGCTGAGGACTCTTTATTCGTAGTGTGTGTGTAGTAACGTTCAAATATATAAGTGTATGTTGTATAGAACTTAGGATGCTTTTCATTCTGTTTCTTAACAATCCAAATCCAGCGTACATGAAACTGGCCTGCGCCCCTAACCCTAGAATAGGGAAACATTATGCGCATAAAGAAGAAGAATTCTTTTCTATGTTGGGTATGAGTAATCACTTTGATTTTTACTCCTCCTTTCCCTTTAAATATTTTAGACCTCTTAGATACTTTTTTTCATGTTACTAAACAAGAACGTATATTAGTTGAAGAAATGAAGCTCCATGTGACTGCGATCACAGCAGAGGACTTCCAGTAGTGCACAGATCACAAAGGACATCTCTCGGCCTCTGTTTACAATTATCCTGATACTATTGTTCGAAGTGAAGATTTCTGTTCTTTTTGCAGCGATCGTAATTATGTGACCCTCTTGTTCTAATCGCTAGTTTTTATTACATCTCAAACTTACACGTGAATATGACATTGGCCAAAAAAGCATATTGATTATTGCAGGTTATGGTTAATTTTTAGCTCATTGAGCCAGGATTGTGTGTTTCAACAGCTTATTCTTTATGTATGTTAACAATCTGCTAATGAATCTTTTTGTAGGGTAATAGTTCCAATGCCTGTATCTGGCTAATTACATTTTTAACAATGTGCTGAAAGTCTGTTTTGACAGGAAAGAACTGTATTGCCTGACTTGCTTAAATGCCAAATATGAGAGTAATGTATCTGAAAGGGCTGTTTAGCTAAATACGCCTTTTCTCAGCAAATCATGCAGATATGTGGGGTTAACGTAAAGAAAGCTAAACTACAAATTTGTCATAGAGGTGGGCAGAGCAAAATAAATCTTTCTTTGTAAGGATTTAAGGTTGCCTATGAATCATCGTGGACTTGTGATAGGATAAAAACGTCATGTTTCTAGACTGGGTTCTTGGAATAGCGAGCTAAATATAAAATTATATATTGTTTGTTAGTTTTAGACCAATCCCTTTAAATGGCAGGTACAAACAGTGCAGAGCTGTTAAATATCTGATACCACAGATGTTTTGTGTCTGTTATTTTCTTTTTTTTTTTTTTTTACTCATTTTGTCTCAGTGGAGTAGGCTTTAATTTACTAGTCCTTATTATTCACTCTATTAGTGCATTAATTTTTTGTTGTTGTTGTTTACGTGACTGAATGACAGCCATGCACTCCTGAGGATTTTCTCACTGGTCTCAGTTTCTCTATTATCTTAATTCATTCCTCTCTCCACTTCCTTCAGTTTCTATGTGACTCACAACTTAGGCTCATGAGCAGAAGTTCCTAAGGTATAACTGATCCTTATTTGTTTTAAAAAAACAAACAAACAAACAAAGTTGGATTGGATATGTTTTAGCGTACTAGAATTCATTTGTTTTATTTTGACCTACGGTGTGTACAAATGGATGTGTGTATGTATATCTTTCAGTCAATTATGGCTTGCCTTTTTTTGTATTTGGAAACAAATGCTCGTCTCTGACATGAGTATACTTCTTGTTGGCATCGTGAAGCAGTCTAATCTCTGAAGTTATTAAATAAGCAGTGAGAAGGTAAAGGAGGAGAGAAAGTAAGTAGTGTAAAACCTGACGGTCAGCTGTGAAAAGGCAGAAGAACTGAGCAAAACTTTCAGCCTCAAATATTATACTGATATGAGTGTAGCAATGGCTGAGGTGCAACAACTAATGTTCTGAACTTTGTTTTCAAGAACGCTCACTAGCTATTAATTATAAAATGAATGTTTCTGATAGGATTCATACTGCATTCAGATTCCATCTCAAAGTCTCTTTCTGTGCATTACTTTCAATTTTTACTCCTCCCTGTTATCTTTCAAACATTTCTCCTAACAGCGAGTAGGGATGTTTGTAATAGGGAGATGAAGAGGCTGTAGGAGTGGTCTGTTCCTGAGTAGTAAAAATTGTTGCCATCCTTCTATCTAAACTCTTTTTAGGTAAGCCCCTTCCTTTAAATTTTGCTGCATTTAAAATTTTAAGAACAGAACTCTAACTTTACTAGAAGTATGCATACAAAACTGCTGTTATGGGAGATCACTAGAGACTCTCTTCCAGACATTATTCTTGAAATCAGGGAAACAGAGGAGGGCAAAATTACTCAAACTGTCCTTTATGCTTTTCCACTAGATTTTCATGTAGTAAGATAGGACTTTATTCGCAGTTTACAAAGCAGGAGAATTCTAGAGTTTGGAAAGATATATATATTAAAAAAAACAAACAGGTAAGTTCACTGAGATCTAAAAATCAGGATAACTGAGGCAGGGTATAAAAGAGCAGTCAAAAAACATATACTGAAGCACTGCTTTTAAAATACAGGCATAATCCAAGAACTGTTTTGGACTACTGAAATTCATAATGCAGAGGTTTTGGAAGGAGAGATGTGGAAGTGCAACAGTACAGCGAGGGTATGGTTAAGATATTCATGAACATTTCTGAGTCTTTGATTCAGATGGGAGACTACTCTGAGGTGAAGCATGCATCTAGCACTAGCTCACAGGAGATGATGGTGAAGAAGGAGGTAACGATATTTGGGATAGATGACAGTGCTATAGTGTGAAAGATAGCCAGTAGTTCTAAATTTAAAATAGGAACGTTTACTTGTTCTTGCCACGGTTTTACAGATCTGCCGTTTACAGTTTCCCCAAACTTTTATGAGGAACATAGGCAACAGAAATGGAAACAAAGGATTTTGGTAGAATGTTTTAGGTCACATGAACTGTGTGTGGGGGGGAAAAAAAAGGTGATAAACAAGAGAAGTCTTTTTTTTTTCTCTGTTAGAATTGTGGAAAACAGCAGAGATATCTGTAGAATTAAAGAATTTTTTTTTTAAGAAAAACAAAAAAGTAGCCAAAGCGGCACTTCCAATATGAGCTAATTCAGCCATGTCTTCCTAATTCACAGGCTTCTCCAGTATGTTACTGCTGGTTTAAGATGGTAGAGATTAAAACTATCAAGGTTTGATGATTTTCACCAATATGAAATAGATTTCTAATAGATTTCTGTGCTAGCAGAAACAGTTTTTTGAGCAGGAAGAACCCCTACAACTAAACTCTTGAGTGAGACACAGATCTCCTACCTGCGTACTTGGATTAGGAGGAACGTTCTGTATTTTGGCTGCACGTAGTTTTCTTTTCTGCTGCATTGCGAAGCCTGCCAATGATCTGTAGTTAAAGGATAGTGCTCCCTTACAGCGTTAAGAATAGACCCCTGGATTCTTGATCACAGTATTTTGCTGATGTGTTTCTCCAAGCAGTCCTCTGTTGGCTGGTAAATGTGGGGGTGGGGGAGAGAGGAAGGAGTGCTTAGGCTTGTATTTCCAATGGTAGTGGTCTTTGGGGCTTGAAATTATATGGATTTGGGCTCCGCTGGTGACCTACCTGTGACTGTGTTTGTTAGAATTTGACTTTTTTATTTAAATTTCATTTAATTTCCACCATAAAAATGTTTTACGTACAAACCATTTTAAAGGGTTATACCTGTAATCTAACTCGAGACAAAATACTTGCGTCTTTGACAATTTGCAACCTGTGTTTTGCTACTTTGATACTTATGCCTCCTCTACCAGAGCAGCTGCAGTAATGGAGGTTCATTCCCTTCCTTTCTGAATTAAGAGGCTAAATTATGGATAAAGTGCATTAGCACTGATAGCCAGGATGGGCAAGATGTAATGGCACAGGGAATAAGAACTCCAACTTCCAAAATAATTACATGAAAGGCAGTGGTTTTTTTTGTTGTTGTTTTTTTTTTTCCTGAACATGGCTTGTAACTCTTTCCATTGCTCAGCTGTTTGGAATGCAATCTCTCTCATCAAGGTAACGTTCCTGGATTTTGCTGATGGTCTTCACTACCTCTGTTCCCGTTGAATTGTTAGCAGATGCATCTGCTAGCCGAAAGACTCATTGTTTCCCCTTCTAAGTATTAGAAAACATCATAAGAACTGCTGGACTAGGCATTCCTTTAGGTATGTCTTTGAGATCGGCACAAGAACGTTTGTTTCTTTGTTTATGATCCTCCATACTACCGTAACAGCTGGAAGAAATCACGTGTTTTGAAAATGCAAAATAACACTGTGATTGAAAGGCTTGTTGATCTTAAGTACCACTAGCTATGGCGCAGTATTTGATTATATTAGCTTTGTAACATAATATGGAGGACGAGGCTTGTTCAATTTACTTGCTCATCTTGGAAAGTATAGCAGTATACAGATCTCAGTCTCTGAGTACGTTCAAGGTTATTCGCATAGTAATGCTATATCAAGGGCTAGCACTATTTCAGTATTATCATTTATGTGGGAGAGCGGAGAGCATAACGCTCTCAAACCTGCTGGGAGGGAAGAAGTCTTTTACGGACTTGGCAGACCCAGAAATAGGAGGATTAGATAGATGCACACTCTTTGCTCTATGATAAGTGTGGTTTAGTATACATTAAAAATAATTAATCTACCCTAGCAGTGGATCAAGGAGTCTGACAGGTTTATTTGCTTCTGATTCATTTTTTTCCAAAATGAATCTTGGCAAGCAGAGAAGACCAAAAAAAAAAAGGGGGGGGAGGGGGAAGGAGGAGTCTCCCCTCCCCTCCTGCCCCCCATGAATAAAGGCCTTACTCTAAAAGTGTTTTCTCTTTTTTGTTG